CATATAAAAGAGTTTGAGATGGAATTCTCCAGTGAGTTAAAACTGAATTTGAGTTTGCTCACACTTTTCTTTTGTCCCTTCCGGGGGTTTAATGTATTCCACACGGGGAACTGTTGATGTGTGTATGTGGCTCAGGGTTGTCTTAGGCTTGCAAAAAATCTGATCGAGATCTTAGATGCTGTAGAACTGAGATGCTGACTGGTTGCTGTTAATGCAAAGAAGTTATAAAAGTGACTTGGATGAAGAATAAGGACAGTTCATGCTAGAAATTCTTATAACAAGAGGGAACTAAAAGGCTGGAGTGTGAGTTTCACTGACTAGTTTTAGGTGCACACTCAACTTGATGGCTTCCTTTGACCAAAATACTGTGCTTCTTGACTCAGTCATGCAGGCAGTGATACTTATCCTCTCCTCTGAAGAGAGCTGAGTCAGATCAGCTTTGTAGGATGCACGGGAGATCCTGGCTTCCTGGCTCCCTAATGGAGTTAGGGCTAACTTGCCTAGTTAAAGCAGATGTCATCTGACAAACTAGATTCCGTCTTGAAGCGGGCGGTAGTTTTCTGTATGTAGCAATGATCTGAATTTTGGACAATCTGGAAGTATGGTACTGACTGCTCAGGTCAGATGTTCAGTTGAGCTACTTGTATTCAGTACTGAACAGTATCCTGTCGTAGGATACATGTCATACATACTGCCCTAGTTTCATTTATGGTAGTCTGATAACAACTTCAGAAGTATTCTTATGGTTATCTGGGCAAATTTAGCTCTGTGAATCCTAATTTTTAAAGCTGTAGCATAGCTCCTCACAACTGTGCAGTGACTAGTTCCCCAGTGTGGGGCTGTTGCTGATGCACCAGGTTAGTCTTACGGATCAAAAGACTAAGTGCTCTTTGTTTTTTGGAGGGAAGTGCATGTTGTCTATAGAAGATGAAGTATTGATCAAACTCTGTGGGGTTGAGGAGCTTGGAGGTATGTACTTACCTGTATGTTTCCTGGTTTGTCTCATCTGTAAGAGCTGGATTTATTATTACTTCCTCTATGCGGTGCTGACCCTAATGCAGTAAGACTTTTTTGAAGTGTTTGCTTTTCATTTGGGAGTAATGTGTTGGAAAATCAGGTTAAGTACTAAGTGCTATGCTAATCTAGGCTAGCAGAGTCTGTTAGTTCTAGTAGCTGCTGATGCTGCTTGTGCAAGTTGCTTGTGAATCTGGCTCTTAAAGCTGACTCCCCGTCTGCGGGCGGGAACAAGGTAGCACAGGCTGCTTGCTAACAGTGTGGCTAGCTGCCCATTCAATGTTAGGTGAAGCAAAACCACTCGGTAACTTCAGGGCTCGCTTTGCCAAGGAATTCATGTAACACTGTCAGCTATTTAAGAAGATAAATATTTCACTGGGGCTTTTGTCTTGAGTATTTTGACTCTAAGCCAGCAAATCCCCAGTGAAATGTGATTTCTTGCATAGCTGAGAGCAGAAGCAGTCCTCTTGGGTAACTAGATTCTTCAGAATTGAGTTTCTAAATACTGCCAGCTTTCAGAGTAGTCCTCGCTACTGAGTGAACACAAGGCAAAAATATCAGAGTCTAGTCTATAATGACATCTTAAAACAGTAGCTTGCCTGTGGTAGGAAGTTTGGTGAAGCAATTGGTCTCATGCAAGTATTAACATGGGAATCTCATAGCAGTAGCCCTGTGGAGATCAGACTACTTGTACTGGGGCTGGTTGGTTTAACTCCTGTATGCTAATCTCTGAAGATTCCCAACAGCTTTGGAAAATTGCCTTGCTTTTGGATAGAGTGGGAATGCTGCAGTGCTTGCATGCCCTTTCTCATTTGGGGCGCTCAAATTCTTAAATTTAACATTCATGGAAGTGCAGAAGCCTCTACAGCAAATCTTGGCAAATAGGTGAGGCATTGAGCAGCCTAAATCACAGGAATGATAGGCCTAGAACTCTAGGTTGCTGGAGAGCAACACATATTGAAACCTGTCCTTAATCTCAACATGAGCAGGTACAAGACTGTTTCAGGAGTTTGCAATTTCTGTACTTTTGCTCTTGTGTATGATTCGCAGCTCTTGCATGCGCTTCAGTAAGTGGGGAAGCTCACAAGGCAAGCAAATAAAACAGCGCATACCTCTTAATGAATCTTGTGACATCACAAGCTGGTTACAAGCTAGTAGGAAAACTAATTATTAATTGTGGTTACGTAACTACCCTATCTTACCCTTCCTTCTATCACGATCTTGACTTGCTGCTTGAATTAATAGTATTGCTAAGCTGCAACTTCAGCTTATTTCTGTTTTGTCTGCACAGTGTTACTGTAGTTAGTCTGATCTGACCATCCAGTGGTTTGAGTGTCATTGCCACTGTTTTGCATGGAGAATCAGAAGGGGGTGGATGCTAGGTTGACTGTTTGCTGGAAGAGTGGTTGAAGAATCTCTCTGAATATTGGAAATATATTCATTGAAACAGGAGGCCTTTGCTGTTACTCCAGCTGGTATTCACTGACCGGTGTGGACAGATCCGGTCTTTGCTTAGTTTAGTTGGCTATTACTTTGGTGTTTACCAGAATGGAGTTCTTTTTTTTTTTTTTTAATAGCTGCATGGGTTGCCGCTGATGCGGTTTCCATGAACGGTAGTTCTCCTTCTGACAGTAACATAGAATTCCTCAAAGATGTTGGTATTAGCAAAATGTACCACTCTGATCATCCTGCAATGGGGAGCTCTTGCTGTCTACAGCTTTAAGTAATTGGAGTGAGAGGCTACTACTAGAGCCTTTATGTGGACATAAGCAAAAGTACTAAACTGTTAAAGCTGATTGCAGTACTAATTCTTGGCCAGAGACCTTCAGTGAGATGGCTGCAGTTAGGGTCACTTGAACTGTATAAACTCCACCCAAACATCGTAAAGATCTGGCCACTTTTCAAGCGGGCATGAAGCCATGCCATCCTGCAGCCAAGCTTCAAATCATCTTTAGATGATGACCAGTTTCCCCATGATTAAGTGGGGTCACAGGCACTACCTTTTTGACTGTTTGCTCTGGTCAGTAGCTCTCGGTGAGAAGTTGAACATATAGACGTAATTGTTCAACTCTGAATTCATGTAGCACAACTAGATGGTAAAATGAACTGAGGTCTGAAATATAGGTCACACGAAGACTTGAAGGTGTCAACAGGCTGATTTCCTTGTTTTGTTCTGGGAATCACCCTTATCATATTTCAGGAGGTCATAGCTCAGTTGAGGCATGATTCATGTGGCATTTAATATGCAGCATGTTAGTCTGAAACAGCAGCCTAGTGCTTGCGTATTGCTGATAGACTGCTCTGGTAAATGAATACAAGGTTAAACAAGCAAAAGCTGTTCCCTTGAGACCTTGGGTTGGAGGAGAAACTCTAAAAGGTGGAAGCTTTCAGGCTGCTACGGATGTAGAACTTCTGATGTGCATCTAGGACCAAGCTACTCCTGGCCTGAACTACAAAACAGTGCTTCCTCACTGTCTAGCAAAACAAGTTGCTAACTTGCTTCCTATCAAGCTTTCTCATCCTGTCAAACCAGCATTTATCCTCTCTAGGAAGAGGAGGTGGGGTCCTGACACGTTAACTAGCCTTTCCAAGAACTTGACTCGGTACTTCTTGGTTGTGGCTCTTGCATGGTGTTCTCCGGCAGTGAACAGATCTCAGCTGCACTAGGCGCTTTGGTAGTTTCTCTTATGATGGGCTGGGCTTTCTAGCAGCTGTGGGTTAGTGCTTTCACCAGCTGTTAATGCTGCAGCAGGCATAGCTTCAGTGCTTCAGAGGTGCTGTTGGCTAGCCTGGTTTATCAGGAGCTGTGTTCTTCTCTGTTCCTAATGAACTGCCATATGCTTAATGACTCCACTGGGTATGGTAATCCTTTTATAGCAGAGCATAATAGTGCTTCTCCAACAAATGCGATAATAAAAAGCAACAGTTTACAAAAGCAACTGCATTAATGGTCTATCACAGCATCTTGTACAGATGGACTTAAAAGGTACTCAGAATAAGCCATGACTTCGATGTAGAGCTTAAGGCTTTTCTTAAGCTGTAGGTAGATCTATCACATTATGCCTGGCTTTCTAGTCATTCAGCAAACATTGGGTGACAAATTACAGTCCTGCCTTCTCTAGGCTCTGTTATATAGTTACTGGTAATGGAGCGTGCTCAGTCGTAGTTTTGATTTTTGTCTGGGTTCTAACCGTTCTCTGGTAAGTATCTTTATTGAGGCAGGGCTAAGCATGCTGCTTTCTGCCTGAGCTAAAGCCCTCTAGGCCTCTGCTTGGTGCTAGGGCACCTGTTTGCAGCAGCAATAGGGGGTGATTTCTCTCCAGTCTCTGAACATGCAGCACATGCCTGATAGAGAAAGATCTTACCAAATAAATGGCCTGTGACATGCTTCTTGCACAGCAACTCAAGTATCATCCTAAGGACTGCTTTAAGATGCAGTGCTTAATAGCTTGGTTTAAGGACCTTTAAGCTAACAGATGGAATATAGAACTCCCTTTGTCTGAATATTTTTGGTGGGAAGAACTGTCATGCAGTACTGCTTTTCATAAATGGCTTATATAGGGTACTCAAGGCCTCATGAGCATCTCTGTGTTGCATTGGTAATCTGAGGTTGTCTGGTGAATCTAGGAGAAGAGGAACAAGTTGAAGTCACAAAGGTCATCTTCTGTAATGTCTCCATGACCTGAGTAATTAGTCCTATAATAGACAAAGGTCTAATAACACAGGCTGGTGTTAGCTGTCTTTACTTGCCTTGCCCTAACAAGGTGTCTGCAACACTTACATGTAGTGGAAGTGCTATAGGGCCCTTAGTGGGAAGGAAAGCTTGTACTATCAATAGCCCTCTGAGGAGGGTCAGACTGCTTAAGATGTTACTGAAGGAGCTGCTGACCAGCACAGACCTGATAATGCTGTGGTGCTTGCAACTGATGGCAAGAACTTCTCATAGTGGGAAGGAGTCGGCACCTTCCTGTGGTGATGGTGGTGTCGGATCAAAAAGCCTGACTCATGCTGGTCCACGAGCATGTCACTAACTGTGACCTCCTTTTCCAGTTGGAACCTGCCTTCAGGTGAATCTGAGTTCAGAGCCTGCAGCATCCTTACACTTTTGGCACTCCTGCACTTCACCCATAATGGCAGGTCGAGGTGGAGCTGCTCGACCGAATGGACCAGCTGCTGGAAACAAAATCTGCCAGTTTAAACTTGTTCTCTTGGGCGAGTCAGCAGTGGGGAAGTCCAGCCTTGTTCTACGCTTTGTGAAGGGACAGTTCCATGAGTACCAGGAGAGCACAATTGGAGGTGAGTGTCAAGTCCAGATGCGAAGTTTGAAAGATGCTGGCCTTAGCAATGCAGTCCAGGGGTGTATCAAAGGTTATTAATGACTATTTCAATGTGATCTGAAATTCTAGCTACAAATAGTCAAACAGCTAACGCTTTATTCTTTGTTTACAACTTGCTTGTTAGTGTGAAAATCAGTGCACTAGAGGATAGTGCTATGGCAACCATAAGTGCTCTGCCTCTAAGGCTCCTTCACTTCTGTTCCTTGAATTTCTACTTCCAATTAGAACTGAGGCCTCAACTCAGTTTATATCCCTTAATTGTGCTTTCAAACCAGGACCTGAGATTTCAGGGTTGTTTCTAGCCTGATACGGTGAACTACTTCCATATCTCTTTCAGGTCTTGTGCTGATGATTTTGAGTTAAAAAGTATAGTGTTGTTAGCAATCAAAGATCTGTCAGCACCCTGGTTTCCCACACTAATATTAAAAAGTGAGTGCTGAGAAAAGGCTTGGTTTGCCTCAGTAGAAACCCATGTAGGAGTTAAACATAGCTGTAAGTGTAGCTTATGGGCAAGCAGGGTTTAATGCTCTTCTGCAGAGGATTATGTGGACGCTCTGCTGTTCTACTTCATTCTGCATACAGGGCTGGTTGTGTTCGTTCTAGTTGTGACCCATGGTATTATATACCCATGGGAACGAGAAATAACCAGTTTCTAAATCAGTGTAATATAACTGGACTGACTTCAGTGCTTTGGTGTTGATATCTTCAGGACTAGCTTTGATGATTGTTTTACCTGTACTGTATGATCTTTGAATGGTAGTTATTGGAGAGGGATATATGGCCCAACGCTGCTGCCTAAACGGTTATCTCTGTACTGGGCTGCCAGAGCCATCTGGTTGGTGGTTTGGTGCTTGGTGACTATGTGGATCCTGTGTGCAAGTAGCTTGATGATGCAGCAGAGCTATAACTTTCACAGCAACTGGCACTGCCCTGGCCTCTGTCTGGGGTTTCAGCTAACTCCTAAAGCAAAAGCAGGACTGCTCCAAGCTGCTGGCTCTGCCTGCGGGAGCTCTCCAGCTGGAGGTAAGGCAAACACGCACACCTTCTCTTTCAGCTGCTTTCCTAACGCAGACAGTCTGTCTGGATGACACAACAGTGAAGTTTGAAATATGGGATACAGCAGGACAAGAACGGTATCACAGCCTGGCACCGATGTATTACAGAGGTGCCCAGGCAGCCATTGTTGTCTACGACATCACTAACACAGTGAGTACTGCACTAGGGCTGTAAGTGGCTATTGGGAAGGAGGCATTTGCACACATAGCTGACACTTCTGAATTCCCTCGGAGAGTGTCTGGGTCTGGTGTCCCTGCAGATGCCAACAGATCATGCCACCTGCAGGTACTGAGTTTATTGAAGACTGCTAATGGCCTCTTCCTCAGCTCTGACCAAGGCTGTCTAAGCTGATAAAGGATCCTGCTGCAAAGTGCTGTAGAGGCAAAACACTTCTTCCAGGAAAGACTTATTCTAATCATATCTTCACTGTGGATTAACAAGAGGCTGCCCTTCCTGACTGCTGCCTCCTGTTTGTTTCCAGGACACATTTGTACGAGCCAAGAACTGGGTGAAGGAGTTGCAGAGGCAGGCTAGCCCTAATATTGTAATTGCACTAGCAGGCAACAAGGCAGATCTTGCTACCAAGAGAGCTGTCGACTTTCAGGTAAGCCGGAACCCAGATCAGGCGCTGCCTGAATAAGTCAGGAAAGCAGTTTTTACTGAGTGGGGGAGACGATGGCTATATTAGAAACACTTTCAGGAAAAGTGTGGTGATCAAGATTCACGCTAACCTGAGGACCCCAGAAGGAGACTCAAAGGGAATTGTAGCCTGCCTCTCCCTTCACAGCCCTTGTAGCTGTTCTTGATAACAATTCTTTACACAATGTTTGTGGAGGAAAAGGCCCTTAGAGCACAAGCTTCCTTTTTCAGCCTCTGCTGCTGTCTTACTCATGGTCTCCCTTCAGTAAGGTATGAAAAGGCATCCTTTAGACACAAGATACCTGAAGATTCTCAGCTTGGTCTCTAGTTTTTACAGCTCTTACCTTAAGTTGCTTAAGACAGACATTTAAGGAGAAGCTCTTATCTCAGACCTCTGCACAGAATTGCTTGTGGTGAATTCATAGTGTGTATAACATTCCTAGCTAACCAAAGTACAAGGTGTTATGCTTGAGAAATACCCTGTGTCTACATTTGGGTCAAGTGGCTTACAAACAGTCAGTGCTGTTATAGCCAGCCTCCAATATTCAGTGGTGCATGTTTTCCAGCTGTTGTGGCTGAGCAGGGTTCAGGGAGTTGGGGTGGGAGTATCCGGCCTGCGGTGGGGCAAACAGTTTCTTTACTGTTTTGTCTGCCGACAAGTGAAGCATGCAAAGCCTGCTTGGCCCTCTTGTTGGCAGAATGCTGTTACCGTTCTGATTGTTTCTAGGATGCACAAACATATGCAGATGACAACAGCTTGCTGTTCATGGAGACATCAGCAAAGACAGCAATGAATGTGAATGAAATCTTCATGGCAATAGGTAACAGCTTGTGGGAAGGAGAATGTCTGGAGTAGCTCTGAGCACCAGGAGTGCATCCCACTGAAAACCATGGGAATTCCCATGTCAGCCAGGTTCTAGAGGCTCTTACTGGAGCAGATGACCAGACTGCTATATTTTTGTGAACAGTCTGTCACCCAGACAGTCACTGACAGCCTGGAGTGTTTGCTTTGCAAACCCATTCCCTCTATTCCTTTAGCTGGGATGAGTAAGGAAGGAGCAGAATTCATGACAGCCAAAGCTGGAAGTATGTTTCTTTACTGTACTTGCGCTGCTAGCAGTGTCTGATCCCAAAAAGTCCTTAAGAGATGAGGGCTTGGACCAGAACAAGGCTGAGCCCAGCTTGTGATCCAGCAGCACTAGGAAAGAGGTTGGCCTTTTTAGAGAAGCCTACTAATGTGTTGTCTCTTTCTAGCCAAGAAACTGCCAAAAAATGAACCCCAGAACGCTCCTGGCGGTCCAGGTAGGAATCGAGTTGTTGACCTTCAAGAAAGCAGTCAGCCTAGTAGGAGCCAGTGCTGCAGCAATTGAGCAACTGTTCCCACCTGACCGAAGCCCTTTCGAATGACGTGACTGGAATCCACTCTAACCAATCGCACTTACAGTAGAGCAGCTGCTGCTGGTGGCTGCTGTGATTTCTCCATCCCTTTCTTGATCATAGGCTGGAGGGAGCTCTTCCACCTGCACCTTTCTGTACAAATACTAATTCAATTCTAAGTCTTAAGTCACTTTTTTAATATATGAACTTCTGCTCTTCCCTCTTCCTGGTGGTGGTGGATGCATGACCTGGTGTCTGCCTAGCCAACTCATCCCTTCCTGTGGGTGAGGGCCAGCAGCACCCAGGTCCCACAGTACTGTAGTTCACTATTGGAAACAAAGGGATATTGAGACTAGACAGAACCTTGTTTAAAATTATCCACATGTAAAAGCTAAGGCTAATACCAGTACAATATGCCTAGGAAAACCACTAAACTGTAGCATTATAGTGACAAACTCTGGCTTTTTAGCCACTTATTGACCAAATCAATTATGAGTATTTTGGGGTGGGGCAGAGGGAAGCAAACCTGGTTTCTTCTGTATTTTGTATTGTATGTTTCTTCATGTAACCAATCAGTATCTTGTCAATATAGTACATACAACTAGCTGCCTATTGTCTTTATTTGTGTTGGACTCTAGCATGCCAACTTTTTTCTATCTCCAGTTCTGTCGTAATGCACTAATCCTGTTGCAACTTTTGCAAAGATCTTGTATAGAAAATTGTCCTTTTTTGATGGTTGTGATGCCACTAATGTTGTTAACCCTACTCTAGTGCAAATACACATGGTTTACTGATGTACAGAGGTGGGGTGGGGGAAATCTTGGATAACTTGTCTGTGGAAACAGTATGTATTACAAAAGCCTGTAATTCCACAAAGTATGAAGGGAGGTATTAAAATGGCTTCTGTTGCCAGACTCTAACTGATGTTGGCTGCTGCCTAGTGCCTAATGCAATGTCTTATGCATACTGGTATTTAAGAGGAACTGTCAACCTAGTCTTCATCACAAACTTCAGTTTTGTGTGATTAAAAGAAATTTTTTATAAATCTACCATGATCAACCATGTTCATGTTTCTTAAAATGAGCTGAACCCAACATGGGACTGGATCAGAACCTAACACATGCTGGAGGATTATGTGGGCTGGTCTTTTCGTGGTATGCACAATACCCAGCTCTTCTGTAGCTTTCCCAGAGCGCAGCTCTGCACAAAGGACATCTGGCCCTCCTTCCCCAGGCAGGGAGAAACATGAGCATGTGGCTTTCCCGCTCAGTGTCTGGAGTGTCTGGATTATGCCAACTGCTCCTGCAACCCATTTGCTAGGAGGTAAAAGAGTGTGCTCAGCTCCTGAGCAGAGCTGTAGAGTGGTATTGGCAGCTATAGGAGGTTCAATGTGTTTGTGGTACTCTGGGCAGCAGCGTACCAGGAAGTCCGCCTAAGAAGGTGAAGGGGTGGGAACTATTCATAGCCTAATACTGTTAGGGAAACTGTCACCAGCTAAGGTGGGGAAGAGGCGTGGGGGAGAGGGCAGTGGGCAGCGGGACTCAAGCTTATCTGACAACTGCACAATAATGTGCTCAACTACTAATGTCCCTGGAGAATGATGGCCTTGAAAGGCATTTCTGTCCTGTCACTGCTGCATGAACTTCAAGATCTCTAGACCCATGGTTGACTGGCATCAATGTGGAAAATGAAGCAACCACTTACAGCTCTTCTAATACCAAATGTACTGCTTTGACCAGCTGGGCAGGTGCCATATGTGCTTGGAGAAGCATGAGGACTTCTAGGCCCTGGTACTTGAACCTGCTACCTCTGCTTAGGTGCGTGCTTGCTGCTGTCAACTTGGTGTGTTCATACAGCAGAAGCTCTGCCAGTGGCACAGCTACAGTCAACCATATGACCATCTCTGGGTTGGACTCGCCCTTGGTTTGTGGTGTTGGGGGCTGTGAAAGCTCTGCTGGGTTGCTGCAAATAAAATCTTTGTGAAATGCCATGACTTGTGAGCTTCATCCTGTGTCTGAGGTGTTGGTGCTTTTTGCCTCATGCTGGACTTCCTTAGAATCTCCTTTTTTGCCAGACTGCAGCCCCTTTCCTATGGACTTGAGAAGGGCCTTGAGTAAAGCTGTGGCTGTGTCCCTGTTGTGTGGCAGGGGGACAGGCT